CTCTTACTAGCTATGCCCTTTGCCATGCCAACCCCATTTTCATATGGAACAATAAAAGACCCTGAATAGCAAAAATAATCCTTAGTAGAAAGAACAGTGCTGGAGGAGTATCAATACCAGACTTCAAACTCTACTACAAAGCCATAATAATCAAAACAGCTTAGTACTGGCACAAGAACAGACTTGAGGACCAATGAAATAGAACTGAAGACCCAGAAATGATCCCACAGATCTATACCCACTTAATATTTGATAAGGGAGCCAAAAAAAAAAAATAGAATTGAAGAAAGACAGCCTCTTCAGTAAATGGTACTGGCAAAATTGGTTAAACACCTGTAGGAAACTAAAGTTAGATACTTATATATCACCCTGCACCAGAATCAACTCCAGATGGATTAAAGACCTCAAAGTAAAAGCAGATACCCTGAAAACATTACAGAAAAGAATAGGAGAAACTCTAGGGCACAGGCCAAAATTTTCTTAATAAAGAACCAAAAATACAACAAATCAGAATGGCTTTTGTCTGCAGTTATGCTGGATGATCTCAAGCTACACTCCAGATATGATTTGAGCAACATATGTCTGAGATTGGTTTAACTTGACCCTCTGCTGACACAAAACAGCAGCCATTCAGTCTACCTCTTACTACCTCCAATTGACTTATACAGGGAAGATGACAATCCAGAAATGATGAAGGATTGAAATGGAGTTTCTCATGCATTTTTTGCCAAGAGATTAATTTTTACATGAGCAAAAATAAATTGTGTGTGTATGTATGTGTGTGTGTACTGGTACCCTAACTTGAACTCAGCCCTCACACTTAACTGACTGGTGTTCTATCACTTGAACCATGCCTCTAGTCTGGTATTTTGCTGGTAAATTGGACAAATAGACTCTCATAGCGTTTTCTACACAAGATGCCTTTGAACTATAATCCTCTAGGTCCCAGCATTTTGAGTAACTAGAATTACAGAAGTGAGCCATGATCACTGGCTTACATTCATCAATTTAAGCAAGCCTATTTGTTCTGAGAACAAACAGGTGGGTCAGAAGCTTGAGGATGGCAGAGTTGGTTGTCAGCTCTCTAAAGCTGACATGAGGGTATTCCTGTGGCAGTGATGTCATCTGAGGCTTGTGGTCTCCCCCACACTCATATGGTTATGGTAGATTTCAGTTTCTTGTGGTTGTAGCGATGGTTGTTAGCCTGGATCATTCCTTAACCCCTAGAGTCAGCCTAAATTCTTACCATATAACCTCTTGACCTTTAAAGCCACCAATAGAGGTCTCCTTTATATCAAACTTCTCTCCTGCTCAATAGCCCTTTGCTAGAAAGGCTCTAGAGTCTTTCAAGAGCTCACCTGATTGAGAATCTCTCTTTCTTAAGTTAACTCATTTGAGTCCTTCATTGCAACTACAAAAGCCTTTCAGAGTCGCACCTAGCCTGGGAGAAGGTGTGTTTACCAGGAGTTGAGAATACCAGCCATTACCAGAATTCTGCCTAAAAGAGACCATAGTAATCCCTGAGATCATTGCTGAACAGATAAGATGAGCTGTGTGCAGAAAGCACTTAGCATAGGATTGGGGAAAACAAGGCTCAATAATGGGATCTAGCAGTATTGATATCTTAATGATATATTTTTCTACTTGTCTAGATTGTGTGTGTGTGTGTGTGTGTGTGTGTGTGTGTGTGTGCCAGTACTATGGCTTGAACACAGGGCTTTGCATTCTCATTTGGCTTTTTTGTTCAAGACTGGCACTTAAGTTACAGTTCCACTTCCAGATTTATTTTTCTTTTGGTAGTTAGAGATAAGAATCTCATGGATTTTTGTACCCTTGATCCTTTGATCTCACATCTAAGTGAACCTGGATTTTTTTTTAATTGATAGGTTTCTCTTCTGATTTCTTTAACAATAATCAACTTAGGTTATTTGTCATTATACTTGTTTTCTTTTTATCATTATCTTTAATCATATAAAGGGGTTTCAACATATCAATTTATGAGTACAATGCATCGTGATCAGTGTCACCCTTCTATCATTCTCCCTTTCAACCCCACCCATCCCCTCAAATTATGTGGCTCCATTTTCACATATGTACATTGACTATCATGACTGTATTCATCTGCTCCCCCACCACCTCACCCCTCCTTTGACAAAACATTTTTCAGCGTCCTCATTTTTGTTAAACTATAAATTAGTTGTTCAGGGTAATAACACCACTGGGAATCCTCTCCTGTGAACATTTTGATCATTTTCTTTAAGCACCCTAGAAACATAATAGAATATGTTGGTGGTTATTTGAACACTTCACAGAAAGCAGAGATGCTGGAACTGTTGTTAACAAACACAAAGCCAATGTTTCATCGCTTTGCTGAAAACGAATGAATGAGTTCAACTAATTTAAAAATATTGAAGTCAAAAGTGGAGCACTATACCATTCAGGTTGGAGCTCAGTCTATAACATGGCATAAAGTGAAGGGTGTTTGGATTTTTTCACAAGGAAAAAAATGCATCACAGAATGAAGATTTAAACATTGGCATTTCTCAGAAAGAAATGTTTTGTTTCTACCCATGCTCTGAATATAAAATGAATACTTCAAATGCTCCATTCATAGAAAGGTCTTTATGCTCGATCTCCCCGCAATGGCCCAGGTCTACAATAGGCAGTGGAATGCAATCTGGTAGCCTAGCCTCTGCAATGCCAGTGCTTCCCACTGGCTGTGGGAAGAAAGCTCTAAGGGGTTAAATTAATATTTTGCAAATTGAGGAAAGTAGAGAAAAAATACATTAGCATGAGAAAAGGTAGCTTAGGGGACTTTTCCACTCAAATGTTTAGTACTGAGAGCTCTATGTTCTCAAGGAGGCCACCAGACAAGGAAATCCTAGTGTACCCACATTCTCCGAATACATTGCTGCTATATTCACACTGCTCAGGAGAAAGACCTCATAGTTATGGGATCGAAAATAGTCCTTTCTATTAAGGAAAGCCTAGCAAAAGTATTTAGAGTATCATAAAGAAGAGGGTTCCTCCGGGATCCATTCCAGTAGCAAGATTATCTAAGTACGTTAGAGCTCTGCCAGAGGTGGTTGGAGAAAAAAAGGGAAAGTTGTTGATGGTTTCAGTTTTTAACTAGATGAGTCCCAAATGTCTGCAATTAATTGAACTCCAACTTAACAGATTTGTCTCATTCAGAAATTGTGTCTGAATGTAATTAGTGGGTGGTCCCCTTTTGTTAAAGTGTAGAGTTGTTTATATATGGTTTTGTAATAAATATCCAAGTTGAAGCTGTAATTATTTTTGCTAGTAACAAGCAGTCAAAATAAATGTAAAAGGTTTTCATTGATTTCTATGAAATGCAATCAAATAGATGTTTTTATGAAGATATTAAATTATTTTTTATTTAGTTTTTGATGGTTCTGGGGATTGAACTTAGAACCTTGTGCTTACTATGCAGGCTCTCTGCCACTTGAGCCACATCCTGAACCCTTCTTTCGTTTATTTTATTTTTGCCAGTATTAGGGCTTGAACTCAGGGCTTGAACTCAGGGCTTCATGCTAGGCATGTGCTTTATCACTTAGCCATACCTCTATATCTTCATACACACATATATTTGCACTAGCCTTCAGCAAAAGCTCAGGGACAGCTTAATGGATAAAATCAATTTTCAGGCAATGATGTGATAGATATGTCAGGAATCAGTCTAATAATGAAGCAATTCCATGAACTTTTAAAAATATGCAGATTACTACTTTTGCATTTGCTACAGAATGAGGAGGCATCTTACTCCTTTCCTTTGTTCACTCATTTCATATGTGGACATTGAAGAGGTCAAGGTTGCTGGTTTTTTGGTTTGTGCAGGTGAAATACATAGTAAAACAATCCATAGATCCTCTGTAGCAGCCAACAAGCAAAGTTATTTTTTTAAGCCAGCGTTTGGGGGGAAAGGAAGGAAAAAAAGGGAAGGTCTTAAAAATGAATCTGGGCACCCACCAGTGGCTCATGCCTAGTTACTCAGGAGGCTAATGTCTGAAGAATGCAGGAAAGTTCATAAAACTCTTATCTCCAGTGAACAAGCAAAAGGCCCAAAGTGATAATGCAACAGTTCTGAGTAAAAAAGCTAAGCAAGAGTATAAAGCCCTGAGTTCAAGCTCCAGTAATGGCACAGTGAATGAATAAATAATCAATAAATAAATATTAGATCACTGCTTTCTGAGATGCTATGAAGTTGGTGTTGATTCAATGTAAGTAAAAAATTAATTGCAAACTTAAGTGAAATACTTTTTGATAATTCATATCTTGTTTTCCCAACTCTAGTATGGAAAAACCTAGAAATAATGACAGAATCAAACCCTCACCAATGTGAGTTTCCTTGTTTCCCCACTTTTCAGGGTCTGGGGAAGGAATGATATGTAGTGATCATTCATTCACTGAAAATAGGTCATTCCAGGGCACATGGAGTGTGTGGGGAATAGTTTGAATACGGAAATTTCTGCTAAGCTGTCAATACTCTATGCTTTCTGAAGGGAGCTTTCTGATCTGCACTTTCTATAGGTGTGTCCATCCAGTTCTTTCCTACGATACTGCCATTGCATTTTCTACCTGTGAGAAGATAAAGTAGAAAAAGCTAGAAAAAAAAGAAAAAGAAAAAGCTAGAAAGTAGAGAAAGCTAGACTATTCGTGCAAATAGTAAAGAGTAATTCAGAATGGCTGCTTATTCATAGTCATAGGACAGGAAGTAGCTAAGGCAGGATGGATGAGACTGCTCTCAACTTGTCCTACCTTGCCCCAAGGAAAGTGGAACCCATCAGGCCATCTTATGGGCTTAGTCTTACAGTTCAGGAAACAAGACACGTCATTTCTCTTGGTTTCCTTGCAACTGAATTTAGCATTTCCTATTTTACTTCTCAACCTAACTTTCTTCTTGATTAGGAAAATAGACCTTTAGCCTATTGGTGCCTGTTTGCATAGGTGTGATGGTACTTTTTTTTTTCTTTCTACAGCATGGAGAACTAAGTCTTGGTGCCCTTGATAAGTTAACCCACAGATATCAAAACCCATGGTGAGTACATATATATATATACACATATATATATTTGTGTGTGTATGTGTGTGTGGTGTGTGTGTATACATATGTATGTGTTTTCCTGGGGTTGACCCAAGAACCTTGTGATTGCTCTGTCACTCAAACTACACCCCCTAGTCTTTTTATTTTTATTCTGCTTTTGAGATAGAATCTTGCTTTGTTCAGAATGGCCTAGAACTCAAGATTCTCCTGCTTCTGTTAAATAGTGTCACACACCACTATTTAACTTTTTAAACTACATTACCACTTTATTTTTACCTCATACAGATTTAGAAAATGAAAGTTATGAATTTTTGTTTTTATTTATTTTTATGCTGGTCTGGGGCTTGAACTAAGGGCCTAGGTACTGTCCCATTACTTTTTCACTCAAAGCTGGTACTAGACCATTTGAGACACACCCCCAATTCTAGTTTTATGCTCATAGAGTCTCAAAGAGCTAGGTGCTGAGGGCACATGCCTGTAATCCTAGCTACTCCGGAGGCTGAGATCTGAGGATTTTTGGTTCAAAGCCTAGTCAGGCAGGAAAGTCCATGAGACTTTTTTTGGGGGGAGTGTCCAGTCGTGGGGTCTGAACTCTGGGCCTGGGCGCTGTCCCTCAGCTCTTCAGCTCAAGGCTAGTGCTCTACCACTTGAGCCACAGCGCCACTTCCGGCTTTTTTTTTTTTTTTTTTTTTGCTTATGTGGTGCTGAGGAATTGAACCCAGGGCCTCATGCATGCAAGGCAAGCGCTCTACCACTAAGCGACCTTCCCAGCCCCTCCATGAGACTCTTATCCCCAATTAATCACCAGAAAACTAGAAGTGATGTTCTGGCTCAAAGTTGTAGAGTGCTAACCTCAGAAAAAAAAAAAAGCTCAGGGACAGTGCCCAGGCCCTATGTTAAGCCCCATGACCAAAAAACAAACAAACAACAACAACAAAAACTCTCATAGACTTTCCAGCCTTGGCTGGCTTTGAACCATGATCTGAGCTTCCTGAGTAGCTAAAGTTATAGGTGTGAGCCACCAGTGCTTAGTAAATTTTTGTTTTAGTGAACAGAATGAAGTTTGTTATCTTCTAGGTTTAATTAGGGAATGGAAAGTAAAAGAAGCAGAATTATAACAAGAAATTAATAGAATACAGTGGGGGAAGGAGATACACACCTACAGCAATTAAGAATGAGAGATGCAAGCCTACAGTGATTAAGAATGGTACCTGAATTAACTGCAACTTTATAGCTAATGCTTTCTGTGGGGGAAAAAACATATAAAGGGGTTTTTGCTGTTGTTTTTAAAAACACTCCTTTCATGCTGTTGGCCTAGAAACAATAATAATGGGTAGCCTTGGTTAATAAATATAACCTTGCTAAAGACACAGAGGAGCTTGAATTCATGCTGTCTTTGGGTAGCTTGTAGTGAGAAGCAAACATGTAGTTGATGGTTTGTGAAATTGTGGGAAAAGAGCAAAAACTAAGCTTGTCTTAGAGACAAAGCATAGAATTCAGACTTCTGAGTAGGAGGGGTCAACTAGCTCTCACAACATGGAGAATTAAATGTTATCTTTGTTGTTGTAAGTTCTTGGATGTGAGTTTCCAAGGCCTGTTTTTCCTGTGTTCAGTTCTGAAGGGTACACTGACATATGCAAAAAGATTAGATTTGAGTCTCTTTCTCTGTACAACAAACCCTACCTGTCAAAGGCTTATCAGATACTTCAGGTACTATTTCAAGACGATCTCACTGGTAATTTCTAACAGGTTTGTTGGGCTCAGGTATTTATAAAACTACCATCCTCTGAGAGATAAGGTGAGAACCAAGTGGATAAAACCAAGGGAAGAGGAAGAGCTGAAGGCATCCACCCAGGGCCAGGTAAATGAAAAACCAGGGAGGAAAGGCAGTTTAGGACAACAAAGGGTAATAACCACTGGGCAAGTTTTAAAGGAGGATTTAATATCACTAGGCACTGGTGGCTAATGCCTGTAATCCTAGCTAGAGAGGAGGCTAAGATCTGAGGATCATGGTTCAAAGTTAGCCAGGAAAGTCAATGTGGCTTTTATCTCTAATTAACTACCAAAAAAAGCTAGAACTGGAAGTGGCGCTGTAGCTCAAGTGATAGAGCGCTAGCCTTGAGTTGAAGAGCTGAGGGACAGCACCCAGGCCCAGAGTTCAAGCCCCACGACCGACCAAAAAAAAAAAAAAAAAAGCTAGAATTGGAGCTGTGCCTCAAGTGGTAGAGCACTAGCCTTAAGCATAAAAATTTAGAAACAGCATATAGGCCTTGGGTTCAAGCTCCAGGACTTGCACCAAAAAGGAGGGTGGATAGGGGCTTAATATGAGGGAACAATTAATAGCTTGGGTTATAGTGGCCTCAAAAAAGCAGAGTGATTTGAGTCAGAGTGATTTATCACCAGTGATAATGTTTGTGTATTGACAATAGACCAGAGTCCCTTTGTTTATGAGTAGCTTTGAAATCTTTTATTTTTTTGTTACTGAGTTTTTATGTGAGTATTAGGGTAATCCAGACCTCACACTCCTTTTTTCACTCAAAGCTGGCACTCTACTTTGTGAGTCACATCTCCATTTCCAGCTTTTTGCTGGTTCATTAGAGATAAAAGTCTCTTGGATTTTTCTTCCTGGGCTGGCTTTGAACTGGAATCCTTAGACCTCAGCCTGCTGTGTAGCTAGGATTACAGGCCTGAGCCACCAGCACTTGGCCATAACTACAGAATTTTTAACTGACTTGAAATTAGTTAAATAATCATTTGAATGCAGTGTCCAAATGCAATGCTTCTTTTTCCCTCCCGTGTAAAGCTGAATTAAATCTACTGTGTGTTGGGAAATTCATTGCTTTAAAGATTAATGAAGAGGGGCTGGGAAGGTGGCTCAGTGGTAGAGTTCTTGCCTTGCATGCATGAGGCCCTGGGTTCAATTCCTCAGCACCACATAAGCAAAAAGAAAAAAGCCAGAAGTGGCGCTGTGGCTCAAGTGGTAGAACGCTAGCCTTGAGCTGAAGAGCTGAGGGACAGCGCCCAGGCCCAGAGTTCAGGCCCCACAACTGGACCCAAATATACATATATATATATATATATATATATACATATATATATATATATATATATATATATATATATATATATATATATAAAAGATTAATGAAGATACTCTGGGTGCTGGTGGCTTACACCTGTAATCCTAGCTACTCAGAAGCCTGAGATCTAAGGATCATGGTTCAAAGCCAGCCTAGGCAGGGAAGGCCATGAGACTCTTATCTCCAGAAAAATGGAAGTGGCACTGTGTCTTAAGTAGTAGAGCATTAGCCTTGAGCTAAAAAGCAGAGGCACAGTGCCTAGGCCCAGAGTTCAAGCCCCATGACTGACAAAAAAAAAAAAAAGATTAATGAAGATATGCCTCAGAAGATGTGACATGATGACGTGTATCAGGTGGTTGGAATGTAAAATGATAAGCAGGGTCCTCACTCTCAAGCTGCTCATAGACTTTCAAGATAGACAGATGTGAGCAGAGGTGGCCAGGCAAAGCACACCACAGGAGAATGGTAATTGGGTGTGGGGTAGCCCTTTTGTTTTCTTCAGAAATAAAACAAACATGTTCTTGTTTTAAAAGCTCATTTCTCTAGATATGTAGCCAGATGATTTAATCATTTTTATATAGTCTCTTCTGTTTGTAATTGGATGTTTTCCAACACATACAGACAGTACTTGTAATTGCAACAAAAAGACTGAAAAGTGCAGATAGGAAGTATAGGAACAGCTTGCAGAGCAGAGGTCATAAGAAAATGCACTAGTAAATGAAGAATTGGCAGGACTTTTTGTTTTAAAGGTAACAAAACTCTTTCAAAGCTGCATTTGAAGACCCACCCAATCCTGAGCTTTTAGCAAGTATTGGAAAGCAGACTTTAACAATTTAAAGTCTGCCTTTCTCTTTTATTTTCTGACAATCAAAACCTTTTTACAATAATCTTTTGTATGTGTCAAACTGCTTTTTGGTATTGTGACAAAATACCCCAGATGATCAACTTAAAAGAAGGAAAGAGTTTCATGTTTGGTATTGATATTCCTCCAGCACTGTTCTTTCTGCTAAGCATTGTTTTTTGCTGTTCGGGGTCTTTTATTGTTCCATATGAATTTTTGGATTGCTTCTTCAATTTCATTGAAGAATGAGGTTGAGATATTGATGGGTATTCCATTGAATTTGTAGATAGCCTTTGGTAGTATTGCCATGTTCATGATGTTGATCCTCCCAATCCAGGACATGGGAGGTTTTTCCACTTCCTTAGTTCTGCTTTAATTTCCTTTTCCAGGTTTTTAAAGTTTTCATCATAGAGTCCTTCACTTCCTTGATTAAGTTAATTACTAGGTATTTTATTTTTTGGAGGGGTGGCTATTACAAAGGGAGTTGCTTTCCTGATTTTAGCCACACTCTTCTCATTATTAGCATACAGAAAAGCCATTGATCTTTTTTTTTTTTTTTTTTTTTGTCGTTGTGGGGCTTGAACTCTAGACCTGGCCACTGTCTCTAAGCTACTCAGCTCAAGGCTAGTGCTCTACCACTTGAGCCACAGTACCATTCCTGGTTTTCTGGTGGTTAATTGGGGACTTTCCTTCCCCGGGCTGGCTTTGAACCACAGTCCTCTCAGATCTTAGCCTCCTGAGTAGCTGGGATTACAGGCATGAGCCACCAGCACCTGGCTAAGTCATTGGTTTTTGAGGGTTAATTTTATACCCTGATACTTTGCCGAAGCTTCAGATCAGCTCGAGTAACTTGGAATTGGAGTCCATTGGGATTCTTTAAATACAAGATCATGTCATCTGCAAAGAGAGAGAGTTTTGCTTCATCTTTCCCTATTTGGATCCCCTTTGTGTTAGCATCTTGCCTTATTGCTCCAGTTGGGCATTCTAATACTAAATTGAAGAGGAGTGGAGAGAGCGGACATCCTCGCATTATTTACCATAGCTAAGATATGGAGCCAACCCAGATGCCCCTC